TCTTTCCCTCTGCCATCAGACTCCTAAACAGCTGCCAGGAGTTTATTACCAGGAAATACGTCATGTACTGACAACCTGTACTGTTTACATTCTCAGTTTGCACATGCATAATTGCACATTGACTGCTGCACATGCTGCTCCCATGCAGCATACATTCTCTTATTATATCTCTGGATTTGCTGCTTAAAATGCCTTAGATGTTGTTACTTATTTATCTACTTTATATTTCATTTGTTTTTTGTGGCATTCATGTGGACGGCAAAGTAAGAATTTCATTGTACAGGGAAACACATTTGACCTACTTTGTGGAAGAAATTGCTTGATAGAAAGTCACTTTCGGCCTTTCCTGTTTAGGGGTTGCCACAGCGAATCGTCACACTGACGACTTGCATGTTGACATGTGGCATGTGCCGGATGCCCTTTCTGACGCAACCCTGATTTGAACCTGGGCCGCAGCGGGGAGAGCGCTGCGCCTTAACCACTAGCTTACCAGGGACGGTCGAGAAACTGCTTGATAATGGACACATAATTGCATAACTTTGCAGCAAAATGAAATGAAAGAAAAAGAGGTCAGGCTACAACTCTCTCGAGTGTTCACAGAGATTTGTGACAATTGTGCCTTCTGCAAAAAAGCATCAAATAAAACCATTGTGACTACAGTGGTTCTCAGCAGAAGAAGAAAACAATGCAGGACGAGTTACAAAGCCTTTATCTTAAATCCATAACAAACGCTCATCTACTATCAACAAATGGTTCAAAAAATTACTGTTATAGCTCCATGTTATAGCTGTCATTTAGGTCATGTCAGGACTGGAACTTTTGTACCAGAAATCAAATCTCTTCAAGCAAAGCAGCTGCACTGCAGGAATTCACCTTCTGTTGACCTTTCTCTGTTGCTACACACAATATTGTGCAGGTTCCTGAGGCAAAAATAAAGAATGAGCTGGGAACCAGATCCCACAAAGAAAATGCTGGGGAGAAAAAGGATAAAATCTTACAAGGGGAATGTTACAGTTTTGTGAAAAACCTCATTTGGATAGCATTTACAACGGATATAGAGCAGCTATAGCTGCTTCATTTTCATTGTTCTCACATTACTTACTGAATTAGCATGAATTAATAACACTGACATGCCTTGTAGCTGGCAACATTTGTCAATTAAACAGGAGAATGTGACATTAACTCCAACTGAAAAGCTAATCTTGCTCAAGTGATATTTTCATTAAAGAACCTCACACTGCACTAAACCATGTAATAAGTAAGTGAAAGTACTAAAAAAATCAATTTAAACTGCCAAGCCAAATGGTTAAGAACTGAGCCAAATCGCAGTAGTAAGTCTAGCAACTCGCAAAACAGGAGACAAAAAACACACAAACAAAAACGAACACGTTCCCAAAATGTTGCATGATATAAAAAATAACAATTCTGTGCTGTAACCCCTCCAGAGCTGTGCCCTTAACAAGGTGAAAATCCTAAGTTAACCTTCACACCATGTGAGACTAAAGTAAAACCCACTCTAATGCATTTACTTTAGTTGAGTTGCATTTTCAGTTTCCTTGCAGGTTTCAACCTTAATCCTTAGAAAGGAAAGAAAAATCAGTTTTCCCACACAAAGCTAATGAGTACTCTGGCTAAGTGAATGTCAGACAAAAAACCTCATATCAGTCATATCAGAGATTATCTGATTTTGAAATGAGAATTTCAGTTCATTGGTGTTCAGGCAGTCACTAGAACACTGGGAATCATCCTCCGAGAGCCATGAATTTCTATGCCAAATTTATTGGAGCTCTGACAAATGTTTGCTCTTACCAACCAAAACCTACTGCAGGTTTTGTTTGCTCTTACCAACCAAAACCTGCAGCAGGGGCAAAATCACAATCACACTATAAAAACAATCTCTAACCTTGGGTCATGTAGACCAGGCTTCCAGTGAGCAGAGCCACACAGTTGGTGGGCTGGTGGTTGTGCAGGTACTGAAACCCCCAGCCCCGGACGTAGGACTTCTCGTACATCAGGCGTGACGCGTTGCCGATCACCCGGAGGAAACGCTCCTGTTGGCTCTTGTTCAAGTACTCATACAGGAAGTCGTAAGCAGTGGCAAACCCTACCAAAGAGTGTGCCAAAGGAACTTCATCCCAGGGGGCATCTTTGACCAGCCTGCAAGACAGATAATATCACAAGACTGAAGGCGAGGCAGACATTCGTGGATCATAAAAACAAAAAGGTAAGAAGATGAGAATGTTCACCCTTTAAATAAATCCCTGGTGAATGCTACATCATGCAAAGCCTATGTTTGCAAAGCCTTGAAAGTAATATACACATACAGTAGCTGTAGACCAGCTGTTCACTTTGAAAGTAAAAGTATATATATCTGTTGAGAACTACAACAAAGCTGCATTAAATCTAATCAGTTTGTTTAGATTATCCATGGCTTGACAACTGTTCATTTTGCACTGCATTAGTCTACACAGTGGTATATGTCTAGCTAACTAATATTAATATGACTATATTACTATAAGGGAATGAGTTCAGTATCTGTAGGCATCTCAGTACCAAAACACCTTATCCTGTTGCTAACAGACTGGGTACTTCTCACTAATTGTTAGCAACAGTGAAGATGACAAGCAGCAGTTGTCAGGCCAATCTGATCTAAATGTGCTGTTTGGATTCATGCAGTTTGTTTGTTTATTTTGAACAATGTTGCATTTTCTTTGACATCCCTTAAATAGATATTAAATGTTATCAATGCCATTTAATGTCCCTTTAATTCAATAGCATATATTTATAATTATTTTTTTATTATTATTTTGTTTTCTTTATGACACCTGCCAGAGACTATACAATACAACTGGGTGAACAAAATAATGTACTGTTGGGAAAGTAATGTTGCAGGGCTGAATCTTGTGTAACTGTATTGTTACCTCTGCCAAGGAGGCTAATGTTTTTACCGGTGTTGATTTGTTTGTTTTGTACCAAACATAATTCAGAAAGTAATGAATGGATTTTGGTGACATTTTCCAGGAGTAGGGTATGGCCCACAGAACAATTCGATTGTCCATTTTGGTGCTGATTCAGATCATAGCCAAGATACACAAATTTTTTAATAGCATTATGGGGAAACTGAGCTGCGTCGGTGGAGGTTTGCACTCTCTGAGTGTTGACTCGTCGCAAATATTTCTGATTTACCTCTTGATAGGAACTCTTTAGCTCTGGTTTAACTCTTCAGAAACACTACCTTCTGAATGTTTCCCTGGAACTACAGCTGCTCAATCAGCTCTTAAAAGTAATTAAACACATGACTGAGTATTTAGATGTTTTCATCCTGTGGGTAATACACTGGGCCTCATGCAAGAACATTTTTGTTGTCTTGTCCTGAATTTCAGCTACATTTTTCTGTGAGGCTCTTGTATGTTAAAGAATTACATCAGGTCTTGACCACGTGTGAATTTTGTTTGATCATACCTAAGGGAAAACTTGGGTAAGTACAATAAAACCAGTGAATACCACAAATTCTCTTAAATATTTTGTACATGTCACTTGTAAACAACCTAAATGTTTGACTGGTTATTACATGAAGACCATTGTTTTGCCTTGATAAGTGTTGAGGCTTAGTTGAAAACCACTTCCTTTGTGATCATGCAAATGAAAACCTAAAATCTTCTTTGTTACAATTTGCCCATATGGCAAAAAGGAAAACAGTAATGAAATTGCTGCCAAATCACTGTTGGACTGCATACTGAACTGTGCCAAAGTACACAAAATATCACTCCTCTGTGTTTGCACAGTGTGTACAAAGGAAAAAAAGGAGCAGGCACTAGTATGCCACAAAGTAGGAGCTCCAAGTCGGAGCATGGTTCGCAGCATTGCTGCAGACATAATTGAAAGTCATGAACACCACAGCTGACTGAAGCCCTCAGAGGTTCAGTGACCATAGTAAAAGTGCAGCCAAGGATTAAACTCACAGCATATTGTTAAGACATGAAAACACATGTGTAATGGCTTCTAAGTTCTGTGCCTTGGAACGCATACTGGTACTGTTCTGCAAATGGCACTAATACTGCACATCTAAGCAACTGGAAAATCCCCTTCCTCCTCATCCTCCTCCTACAAGGGAACTTAGCAGCCATGTAGCAAAATGAGAAAGATTAAGCTGCTACACTGTGTAGGGGTCACGTGCAGGCATTCAGGTTTATAGCCGATACTGAAATGGAAATTTACTAACACAGATTTGATGTAATCTTACAAAAAACTCCATAACTAAAATGTTACCTAACAGCAGCACAAGTAGAGGAGACTGGTAAAGGCAGTGGACACAGTAATGCCAGTATAATTAGCTAACATACCAGATAAACTAATGCTTTATTACTTATGAATTCTACAGGAAGACTTCCTCTTAATAATGCACATCGTCTGACTTTAAGCATGGATTTTCTCATAGCACAATCAAAGATGTAAAAATGATCAAACTTAATCTGAGACATGCACATTCATCTTCCTGTAAGAACTATGCTAGACGTCATAATGAAACTGGTTTAAACAGATCAAGCATTAAAGGTAGCAGGTTTTCTTCTTTAGTTCAGTTATGTTTACAGTCAGTATTTCTTACTAAAACGCACATGTGTCCTGGAAGCAGGGCAACATGCTTCCCATAAAACACTTGCAAAGCTGCTTTCTTAAAAATCTTTTGTCGGCTAAGCGTCTTCTTTCTTGCCTTTGATTTGCTATATTTCCTGCCAACAGCTGTTGACCAGTGGAACCAGAGACATGTTTTATGTCATACATAAAAATGGAAACCATCCAGTAGTGCTCCACAGGGTACCTTTAACCAGTTGGGTATAGGATGCATGGACTTGCTAGAAGCACTGTGTATACAGATGAAAAAAATTGCATACTTGCAATAGTTACAAATGTAAAGGCAAATGAATCTGTGCACATTTACTGTATAATTGTTTGTTTGTTATTAGTATGTGGGGAACAGGGAGTAGAAGAACTTCTTTTACTTTTTTCAGGCATTTCTACACAGTTATTTAAGAAAAAATAGATGCTGTTTATCTGTGGGAACTTTGCCTTAGATAATTCTAACAATTAGAGCAGAGTGTGTTCAGTCACTGTCTGGTCATCAGCTCATAAGTGAACATTTCATTTGCTTTCATTGGGAGTACATGTTCAGCAAACAGCTGCTAAACATATTTTCTGGAGAACAGACCTGTCAGAGCAGAGTGCATCTTTACCAGAGCTCTGAGAAAACTGAGAACATGCCGGAGATAAGACTAGAAAGCCTCTGACGTGTAGGATTTATCATTAATACTTTATCTAGAGTTCTATTTTCTCTGTAAAGTGCTGTTTCAAATGTCTTTAGTAGAAATTTACACAAACTGTTGCACATGGCCTCAAACCTTACTTTGTCATATGAGATAATAAAAAGACAAAAAAAAAATCTACCAACTAGGCTGAGCGGCCATCCTCTCCATGTAGTCCTTGGCCAGGTTGAGGGCCCCGGCCCGGTGGGGGTACAGCAGGCAGAACATGGACAGAACACCCAGGTTATTTCCATAGACCTCATTCCAGCGGGCACTGAATTCTGTGGGATTCCACGGTGGCAGGTACTCCTCCGGGTGCTCCAACATGGTTTCCCCAGCCTCGCGGATCCTGCTTGCTATGTCCCGATGAGTCCCTGCTGCTCCATACTGCAGGCCCTCGACATCCCCCTGACTGAAGTACAACATGGGATGCCCATCGTAGTTGCCTCCCATAAAGTGGATTCCTCTGCTGGGGTCCGCCTCCGCCACCACCACCTTTGGGGGGAGCAGGGACCACAGCAGAATTATGAAGAAGACTGTGGGGGCCCCACGGGTGTGGGTTGTCATTGTTTCATCAGAGAGGGGACTGTGGCATTGCCAAAGGAGCTCAGCTGAGAGGGAGCAGTGGAGGAAAGAGAAGAGTTTGAGAAAGCCGGCCTATATTCGCCACAGCTTTTTCCTACAAAAGCCCTGCATTCCTTGAATAATTGGATGCAGCTGTAATTCTGATGATGCAGGCTTTCCATACTGATGTAGGCCATTACTAAGCAGCACAGTTAAGAAGTAATCATAGCACTGTCAGATAACGTTATTAAAACATACACACATGGTTGACATTTCTTGAAAACTGTATAGTTTTATAGCCATATAGTAAAAAAAAAATTCACAGAGACCCCTGTGGCATTTACTATATCCACGCCACAGTCAAATGTGTGGAGATTGTGTTACAGGTCTGCACACAGCATAACCTAAGGTTCACTGCCCAAGATTTATGTCCGAGTGGCTATTGAGAGACAAGCCTAGCCATGCACACCCAGATGTCCAGACCTGGACGCCATAAATGGCCCGTTACTGCTGTAACATTACTCTGGTCTGCTGAAACAAGCTTGAAACCGAACTGCTGTGCTTCACAGAAAGACAACAGCTGGCCTCACATCTTTCTTCTGAACATTGGAGTAAATTCCATGACCTTAGTGGAGATTTTGGCAAAGGCCTGGTGGAAAAGCATTTGGTAGTGATTTAAACGATGTCTAGACTGAAGTCCATTCTAATATGTGGGTGCTGCCCAGGGTGTACATGTATTGTGCACTATGTTTAATAAACTAAGAGATGTACAGAATAATGGTTCAGCTTGCCTAAGTTACTTTGGAGATTTGACCTTAGGAGGGGTTACATTCCTCTGTGGTGAACAGGAGGATGGTCGGCATGTAGAGAAGACAAAACCATCAAGACCCTGTTTATACTGGAGGATGTAAGCCTGAATTAGACTGACCTCAACTTGCTTTAGGCTATTTCACTAAATACACTGGGTATTCGGATAGCGACTTACTGTATCTTAAATCTGAGCTACCAAATGGCACTTAAAGACATTTGAATCAACTGTATCATCAGGGCCTCCGCTTAAGTTCTAGAAATACTGAGGTTCCATTATTCATACTGTTTTATATTATAAGAGGTTAAATTCTGATTAAAAATCTAGCAAAAATGCCAAACATAAGGTTGCAGCACCACAAATATGGGGACATACAGGTCACTGTACACCAAAACAACCAGACACAAGGACAGTTTCTTCCCCATAACATCACTCCGATGAACACGTAACCCATTACTGTACAACACGACAGCAACCCTCAGTGCAATGCACTGGTAAATTCAATGTGAAATGTGTGTATATACAAGTACTGTATATTTTATAAGTACTTTTATTTGCTTTTTTCAATTTGTTTCCTCAACGCACATTTCTTCTTGCCTACTTGTTGCTTTATGGAAGAACATTGTACATGCACACTAAGAGTCATACCTGGCCAGTAAAGCTGTCTCATTTGTTGAGTTTCTCGGTTTGATAGCATTGTAAATTAAATAGGCTTATCTTAAAAAGGGTATACCTATGTTTATATACCCCAAAGCAAGGTATAATGTGTGCACCACAGTTAATACCAAGCTCTCATTCTGTGCTGAGCTATTCTGTGTAAGCCTTTTGATTTGAGCATATCAAGTATAATGGAATCAGCTGGTAAAATATCCACCATGTGTATGATTTTAAATGAAGAATATACTCCGACATTCTGTGTCAGAACAAATAATTGGGACTGTTATATGTCAGTCAACACTGGCACAGCTGTAAGAAGCCCCAGGTTATAGTTACTGATAGAAGGAAGGGACTCCTCCCTTTACAGATAGGGTCCTGTCGCGGGGTTAAGATCTTATTTTAAGCTTTTCAAGATTTAGGCTATACAGTACGTTTTCCTTTACCAGTCTTTAAGTTTTACTAAGAAACCGCATTCACACTCGTTTCACTCTTCTTCAACAAATGGTGACGTTATTGTTATTATTATTATTTACAAGAAATCAGTTCGTTGATGGTATTGACTTTCTAAATCTGCTCACAAAAGCAGCCTTGTTCCTGTCGACGGCAAAAAAATAAAATAAAAAAATAAAACACTCGGAAGCAATGAACGAAAAAGACTTTACCTGTCAGAAGCGCATTCCCGCCTTTTTAGCCACCTCTTCTCGTCACGGCACTGCTTTTACAAAGATTATCAAAGTAGTTCAATTTTTTTGAGGAGCTAAACAAAGTGTGAGTGTGGAGGGAGCGTCATGCCGACGACTGGGGAGGGGTGGCAAGGGACGGAGGCTTAAAGCAGACCTAATGAAGTGCCCGCCCCTCTCAGCGAGCTTAACGGGTTACTGCAGGAAACAAAACCAGCTTGTTGTATTCTGCTATACAGACAAAAAAAAAATGGCTCTAACCATCAGGGGCGACTGTGGTTCAGTGGGGGAGAGCAGCTGTCTCCCAACCGGAGGGTCGGAGGTTTGAATTTCGGTGCCTGTGGTCCACGTGTCAAAGTGTCCTTGGGCAAGACACTGATCCTCCAAGTTGCCCCCAATGATTAGAGCCATCGGTTGAGTTGGTGCCGCAGATGGCTGCCTCGGTTCTGTCCCCGAAACAAATTCCTTGTGTGTAACATACTTGGCCAAATAAATGTGATTATCCTTTAAGTACAAATCAAATAAAATTCTCCCAGAGTTCATTTCTGTGGCTTTTGGTTGACATTATCATGCTGATTTGTGTACAAGCGGTCAGTTTTCTAGTAAATTCGTTTTTAATAAGTTATTTGATAATATAAAAAGGGGTGTATTTCAGATGATTTGACAGCTTTGAATGGCAGTCCGATGCCATCACCCTACTTCTGGTCACTACTGTGCAGAATTTGGCTGCATAAAAAGCAAGATGACAGCCGCTGTATTTTAGCTTCACTTTTGGATAGGGGAGACTAGATTACCATTTCATTTCAACTGTATTATCAGTGTAGCGTATGTACAGTGCAATGTCTTTGCTGAAGTTAGCAAAGAACTCAAAAGAGAAAGCATCATGTAAGAAAACTGTAGAACATTTTATTTCATTGACAGTACTTCAACACTTGAACACAGAATTGAGCTTTCCCTGTGTTTTCAAGAACCTAAGACCACAAATGAATCCAACATAAGGCAAATGTACATGTCAAATTTTCCAGGTCTGATGAGAAAAGAATACAATCACTACAGCTGTATGCATAAAACACTTGCACAGACAGCACAAGTAATAATTCATTCTAGATGACCAATCTCACATCCTGCACATGCTGACAGCTGTATGCTGCTAACTGTCAATATATTCTGTTTTCACGATGAGATGATGGTCATCTTCAAGGAACACTGACATTTGGGAAATCCTTTTGTTTAAGGAAGCAGACTGAGACCAGTAACATCTTTGTGTGCTTAGAATAGAGATACAGTAGGTCTGGGATGTTTAGTGCAGCTTAGCACAAAGACGGGCTAGCAGGCAGCTACCTATAAGGCTGGCTTAGCTGTCTGAAGTATTAAATAAAAACCGGTTTTATTTAAACATGTTGAATTATGAATGAGTTTAGAATGAGCTTATTTCTGACCCACAACAGCTAAGTGCAGTGACTATACGCAGTAGTTTGATATTGAAACAGCAGTTCAAACGTAGAAAACAGCATTCAGTAGCCTGTGTAACCATCTATCTGAAACTAAAATTCACAGTGTATAAGTGCACAAGTTTACCTTGTGTTCCAGTGAGGGGCCTGCCTCCTTTGATGAAGCAAGTAAACTAGCCAACTGTGCTGGATAGATGACACCAACCCAGTTTAAATGTAACACAGAAGTTGTGGATGACGTTTAAAGTGTTTGCTGACTTTGTGCAAATTATCAAATTAATTATTTGTTACTTATCATTCCTTACAGCTGTTAATCAAACTTGACTTTTAGAAAAATAACAGCCTCATAGTATGTAGCTTCTCAAATGTTCTCTCCACAACTTGATCCTCTTCTAGGTTTACACCTGAATCTTCTAAATTTTGGGAGCAAACTCAAACAGAATTAGAAACCTGTTCAACTTTGACATATATTCATTAAATCTCAAAATAAGAGACTCAAACTGACTTAAGGACAGTCAAACTTGATCTAAATAGACTCAAGGAGCAAGCCATGAATGATAGATATTAGCAACCACTTGGATCCGCCTCTCGTTTGCAGATAGCCCTAACCCTGGTAAAAAAAAAAAAACATAATGTGTATGTGACTCTTGCTTGCTGGCTATCAGGACAAAACTATTTGTAACATTGTACTGAGTTTTTCCACTAATGCTAACCTATGCTAAACACTTCCCACATAATGATCTTCTGTGACAGCAACAAGTAAACCTTTGCAGATTTGTCCCAAACTGAGTGTTCCTTAATAATATGGCACAACTTGTCTATGCACACCGACAAAATAACCATTCAGAAGTCAGTTAAAGCATATCTCAGTCTGGTACTGCATATGAATGAAGCACAAGTAGTCAACATTTTTACACAGTCACTCAAAGAGCACATGTCACAGTTGCACCAAAAATAATACAGAGAACACCTAGCATAGTTTTCATCAACCATTATTATAATTATTGTTTCCCAAAGCTGCCATTTGAAACAGCCAACACAAAGGACAACATTGTGCTAGTTCTTTGAGCGACAATGACCTGAAGATTAAAACCTTCCACAAAACTGACAAGGGAGAAACATTAGACCTCATTTTAAGGTTACAAAAATGCATACAGTAAAACTGAACTCAAAAAGAAGACTTCACAATAACATTTTTATACCGAAATACTGGCACAATAATTCCAAAGGATTTTTGGGGACAAACACACTGTAACCATCTGTGTTTTGCTTACAGTAGAAAACATTCTTGAGGTAATAACTTAAGGGGAAACAGTAAAATGTCCAGGTTATTTCAGAAAACTGCAAAGAATTTAGATTTTTAAACAATCTACCATAGAAAATTATAAGGAGCTTCACGCAAATAATAAAAACACAACATCTTTTATTATTATTGTACAGACACACACTTATTTTGTCATATTTCCATATGTAGGGTACACTAAACCACGAAACAATGTTCAAATGTAGGAGTTATTACAGAGATACTGTGGCTTACATTCACATGGTTTCTCTGAATAGGTGAGGAGTGTATGCTTCTTGTGCTCCACAGATGGCAATGGGGTCAGGTGGGACACTATAGGCAAAAATGGAGGCACATTCCTCTCCTAAGGCAGAGGGGTAAGGGAGGACTTTTTTAAACTTTTCACTTTTTCTGTTTTTTTTACGACAGACTCTCGCACCTCTTCAGCAAGGAATCCGGGGGTCTTGGGAAGTAGCCAGTGGTGCAGGGCTTGTCAGGAGAAAACCTGGGAAATTTGTAATCCAGAGGGAGATCTGGAAAGGGTAAGATCAGACAGGAAAGTCAAGTTTAAGTTATCCAGTACACGAACAGGCTGCCTGTATGTTTATTGCACTATTAATGCTTAATATCAACTGCAGATGTTCAGGAGTAATAATTTTTTACGTAGAAGCACAATTTGTTCTACACTGTAGGTGATAGTCAGTCCAGGAACGAACCAGTGCTTAATCTTATACCTCTTAAAAGCCAACTCTGGTATAAAAGATATGGGTTTTTCAGTGGCCAGTGCCGATAACTGTAGAGCGGGGAGGCTGACTGATGACGTGTAACACTAATACTCAATTGTTGTTTTTCTTTTTGCAGATAAAGTACAACAATTTAATAATAACAAATAAGACATATTTTCTGTATTTAAACGAACATTTAATTAACACAAATTATGAAAACCTCCATATCAACCTCGTGCACAGACATCGGCAGATACCGATGCCAATTATCTACAATATTGGCCCAATTAATCTACCAACCAATGAATGTGTCTATCACTAACAAAAAATGACAAATTCTAGATCTGCAGACTTACAGACGTTGAAAAATATGACAGCTGAAGAGTCACAGAACAGCAACACTATATTCACTGGCCTTTAGAAGTGATCAGAAAATGCATCTTACAAGCTAGTTTGTTTCAAGCAGACTGACACCTTAAAGCTGTCTGACATGCGTTCCAGCCAAACTGTGTTGTGTGCAGTCAGATTTCAATCTGTACCCCCGCACAAAAATCATGCACAGATGGTCACGATAACATCATTGATAGCATCCTCATCACTGTTACGCCACAAGACGCCACAGTTGAGATTTCCTGGTTTGTTAATACTGATATTGCTCACTTTGAAAAACACTGAACTGTCCATATGAGCCTTCACATAATCTGAAATGCAAAAATGGTGGCCTCTTATCCATCAGAGTCCAGGCTAAGGACCACGAGTCTAAAGCTTTCCTGTCAGGGCACCGTTTAGCAGAGCTGGAACATTTTGCTTTATTTTGGATCTTCTCTTTTGCTTTCTAATCTCCAAGCAACCACTACAGATCTGCAAAATTATATTCATGTTTGTCCAGTGTTTTTTTTTCTCCTTCTACATACAGTACCTGCTATGTGCTCAACACTAGGAATGGCCATGGTGCTGTATTTGTGAATGCAGTGGCAGCACCAGGTCAGTTTCTGGCTCTCCTCGTCCTCTCCTCCACTTCTATGAATGTCGACAAAGTAAGATCCCCACTGGTTGGACACAGCAGAGGGTGACTTCATGCCCTGCTCCTGTTGAGACAGTTGACACACAAAACAAACTACCGTATGTAACTGTGTGTTATGACTCAGACACGTGCAGACCTGATATTAGGAAGAGAAGATTCTACCCAGAGCAAAGGAAATACAGGGAGACTTCAAACCAGCATTAACCCAGGCAGCTCTGAGACTTATTTTCAGAACTGCAATGATTTCTGAGAAATCACTCATAGATAATCACTCATACTCAGCAATCCTCATGACACCATGATGTGCTAATCAAAAGATAAACTAGTGCTTTGCACAATATCAGGAAATGTTGCAAAATAAAGACCCTGCAAGTAAAATGTTATATACCAGGCTGTTATAGAGATTTACACACATCTAAAATTAATATGTGAAAAGGAACAAAATACATAATTATGTATTAAGATTGGGAAAAAATAAAATGCAACATGCTGAAGCTCAAACCTTGGATGTAATTTACCTCAGATGACAAAGATCAAACTCATCACAAACTCAAAAACCTTACATGCTGCTTTTTCTTTTACCTACATACAGTACGCTCTGTGCAGTATTAAGTGCGTGCATGTAAATTAGACCAAGGAGTTGTTCTTTCTGGATCCTGGTCTTTCTGGCCAAAACATATGCTGACTCCTCACTTTTGACAGTCAGGATCAACATCCATGTGGGTAATATTCTTATCTGCTCTGTGAGAGGGAGGGCAGAGTACTCCCTCTGACTTAACATTGCCACTCACATTAAAGAGTAAAAGAAAAAAAAGGGACCAAAACTGATGTGGCAGAGCCTATAAACTCGACTAGAGATGAGGGAGGAGCTACAGAGGTCTGGGAAGTTAATTTCTCCAACTTCAACAGACTCAAGTGGTGTCACTTAAAGAGGAGCTACAGCCTAAATGTACACATATTCAACAGTTTGGTGGTAGTGACACTGATGTAGGTCATTTCTCCAACATAATTCATATTGTGTGTGGGGAAAAAAGGCTTTTTCTGCTCAAATCTTGCTATAGTTCCTGTCTTCTTGGATTTGAAAGTTCAGTTCAGCTGATTCCTTTGGCCCCTCCCTCACTGTGAATGTCAGCACAGTAAGAACATTTATCAGATTTCACCTCGCTCCTTCTGGGGCCACAAAATGCTTTATACAACTTTGTTCATGCACAATATGCAGTAGTATTGCAAAGCACCTGCAACAGATTTTGACGTGTAAAATCCACAGATTTGCCCTTTAAAGTGTCATTTTTACATGCTGGAAGTGAACATGCCTGTTATGTTGCATCTTCCAGCACAGCTTTTACATTAACGTGCAGCAACATGTCTGCTTTTACATGATTCTCCATCAAATCAGAGTGTCAGTGCTTTCTGGCAGCCAATATATATACACACAAACACACACTCAATGATGACAAAGACTCTTGAAGGAATGCAGACAGCCACAGAGGGTCACAGAGGTCAGGGTTGTGTTAGGTGGACAAACAGGAACTTACTTCAGACTTGCCCTTTTTCTCCAGCGGCTCCACTTGGGCCTCATTGGACATTGCTGCGCTGCTCTTCGGAACACCCTCTCCCTCCATTTCCTCCACTATCATCACTGTCTCCCACTTTCCAAAGCTGCTGGCAGGGAACATGTCTGACCTCAAGCTATCCCCAAAATACACTACCTGCAGGGTGACAGAAAAGGCAGCTTGTTTACTGTTGGCTCCAACACAACAGTTTAAATGGTAACATCTCACTGGATTCTTTTCTCAGCAGCTGTCACAGCCAGTAAGGCTGGCATGTGTCTTATGGCCCCTCAGGGTGAACCAGACCAGGTACGGCATGTCTGCAAAACTCATCACAACCTCTTTGATCATCGCATCACGTTTGCACTCCACATCTGGAAATCTTTGATTTTCTACTTCTATGATGTGAGCCTTCCTTTGTTTTTGTCTTCCAATCCTGGGCTACCAACCGTGGCTCTGCTGGCTGCAATGACTCCTGTTAAATCCTCAGATTGATCAAGAATTAACTTCAGAATGCATTTTTGGACAGAAAAAGACTGTGGACTTTGGCGCTTTTACACTGAGGCTACACTACAAAGGGATCACTCCATAGCCAGTATGGAGAGGAGGAACGGCTACAACACTCAAAACGTATTTCAGCAGGCACAGAGCCCTGACTGTTGTGTGAAGATGGCTCTGAAATAACTATGCAAGCCTATTTTTTAACTTTAATATTCTAGTTTTGAAATTTGCTAGCCATATCTGAATGCAGTGGATACAATTTGAGGTACAGCTATACAGCATTTGCCCCGCTGTGCCTTCCACTGGATTTCATTCATTTCCAAACAACAAAACCAACAGTCAATCTTAACAACATCTGAAGACCTGGACCTTGGGCCCACTAATCTCTGTGCAACTCATGTAAACCTTTTCTGGACATCACAAACAGGGATGACTCATGTTTCTGATTGGGGGTTTGTGTGTTTGTGTAACTTCATCTGACTTCTCTACAGGTGTTAAAAGGCCATAAACAGGATGTAAGACATTCCAGGAGCAACCCTTTCCCCTTGCAGAGCTTAGCTGTGTCTCAGCCCGCCCCTTCACGTGCACACCGTCAGGCTAATTGGGGCTGCTGATGGCTGAGCCCAAGGGGACAGGGCTGCAGGAATCACATTTCCACCAGATTTTCCCAGACCTGGCCACATCTGGCCCTCGTTCCCCCCAAAATGCTGCGGCTCCCATTGCTCAGCAGTGCTGCTGCCAGAGTCAAGGGATAACTGTGATAAATATTTACAGAGGCCAAGGATTCCAGCACAGAGACAACATATCACAGAAGAGACTCACTGTTATGCCAGCCTAAACCAGTCTGGGGTCTGCATAAGGCAAACCAGTGTGAAGTGAATCAGACTGCAGGCCACAGTTAAATCAGTGGGGCAGACGTTCCTCTGTTGCTTCTCTGCACATAACATAACATGGCGCTCTCCACTTGTTCTTTTATCCTTAAACTTAAACAAGACTTGGTGTGCCACAATGCAGCTTACATCAGTGTTATCAGAACGTTCCTCAGCAGCCCCACAGCCTGCTGCTGGGCAGAGTTCTAACTGTTACTGAATGGATTCAAATCAATTCCAACAGTATATAAATCTTAACGCTTTGATACAAAATGTATAAATAATGCATGTAGCAGTAGGCCTAGGTGTTCCAGCCAAGATGTTTCTACTCCCAAGACCTTTATTGGAACACAGTAAAATATCCTGGATGTACAAAGGAGAAAGAGAAAAAATAAAACAGTGACGGGCGGGACTGATTTGATCTTAGTTACACTATAAAACGACTTAAATTAAAAAATGTGCCAAAGTTACATTAAGCACTATCTTTGGTCTTAATTAGACATCTCTAATGTAAACGGGCTGGTGCTAGTGAACCCATTACGAATCAACAGCCCAACTTCAGCTCAGTAAAGCCTTCATCAGCTTTCATCTCATTGTTTTGGTTTGTTCCTGGACATTTGACCCAAAACAGCATTGCAATAAAAACATGATGGGCTGTGTTGGTTCTGGTACAAGTGACAGGAGTGGTGTGGTTACAACGATGGAGCTTTCCAGATTCTAAGACCAGTTTATTATACTGTAAGGAAGGACCATACTGTTCTAGACAGTCACATGAATCATGATAAGAAGCATTTTATCCTTTATTTCAATGATCACTAGGTAAATAGTAGAAACAGGCTGCCCATGTTACCATGTGATCCACCAGGGACATAGGCTGTGACAACACCATTGTGTCAGTAAAATAAGTGAAGGGGCAGTGTTTTTTCACAGTGTTGTCAGTCTGATCACAGTGGGTTACATTAATTCCCCAGTGAAATGACAGTGGAGACTGCTGAAACTGAAGCTCAGTCAATCAATCAATCACCTTTATTTGGCCAAGTATGTTACACACAAAGAATTTGTTTCCAGTACAGAACCGAGGCAGCCATCTGCGGCGCCACCTCAACTGATGGCTCTAACAATCTAACCATCACTTACACCCTAGCTTATTTGAGTTATGACAAGCCCAGTTTTTACTACAGTATCAGCTGTATACACTCACTGCAAATAAATGATGACCATGAGCTGATCTCGCTTGGAAAGCCTCAGTCTTAAAGTAATAAACCGTCCAAGTGAAATTCTTCTAAATAAACTTTAATGGCCAGTAAATGGAAACTGAAAATGTTTAGCATGCAGAATAAGAAGTCGTTTCCAACTGAAAAGGGAGTGTCCAGTGTGTGTGGAGGCCAGAGGAAGTGTGTATGCTGGTGATTGTTTCTGCCAACGTGGCAAAATTCATGAAGAGAAATGGAAGAGAGAGCAAGAGGAGAACATTTCAGGATGTAGCTCATGCTGTCTTCATACATAATACGTCTCCAGTGTCACTATGGGGAGGAAGACAATCCAGATGAGGGGAGCATTCCATTAGACTGCCCCCTCACATTAAATAAAGTACCTGAAATTATAGCTGAAATGATTCCCCATAATACTATAATACACAAACACTAAAATAATACAGGGGTTGTACTATTAGAGATGTCTGAAAGGCAATGCTTCATTAAATGATAATAGATTTGATTTTATTTACCCAAGATAAAAGATTTCTCTGTCCTCAATACACTGAAGGTGAATGGAACTTAATTTGTGCTGCACAAAGTTAATAAATGGGACTGAAAAGGAGAAACATTTTTTTAATTTTACTGTCATTGTGACACATACAACGAAATTTCGCTTGGAGCCAAGGGCCCCAGCATTCGTACGCGCCTCCATCACAGGCAAGTTGGGGGGTTTGGTGTCTTGCCCAAGGACACTTCGACATGTGGACTGCAGGCACCGAGATTCGAACCTTCAACCTTCCGGTTGGGAGACAACTGCTCTACCCACTGAACCACAGTCGCCCCCAAGACTATGCTACAGTGGACATGTCAGAGACCAGGGCTCCAGTGGGATGCCTCTGTGGCTCACTGCTGAGTCCATGCTACTTTCTCTCCTCCTACTGTAGCTTTAAGACGACATATAGTCTGGGCTTGTGGACTCCCATGTTTTATCAAGTCATCACTCAGAGGAATGGTTCAAGCTGAAGCTAAGCCCAGGAAAACAGAGCTGCAGCCATGCAACGGGGCCTTCATGAGTCCATTGTACTGCACACTGTGTGGGGCCCAGAGTGCACACAGAGGAGGGGGCAACAAGGCAGCATGGCAAAACCCCATTTTATCTCTGATCCAGTACAGTTCAGCTGAGTCCAACAGATAAGACACTAGTTTTAATAAAACTAGGAAAACTTTGTTATTAATTTATTTGCATTTAAAACAAGATCAAGTTTGCTATAACTTTAGGACTGTTTGACTACACTATTTAGGATCAGTACTGATTTTTTTTAACTAAGACATGATATGGCCTTGACTTGGACTGAAAGATCCAGCACCATTTGATATTTTGGAGACTAAATTATCCTTCCTTTTAAACTGTCAGTAAACTAAGCTTTTTCTCAAAATATCTATGACTCACAATGAAAGTGTTACTCCATGGGCTTCCAAGAAAACTATTAGGAAATAACAACCCATGAAATAACTTTTAAAAATTCAACCTGTTTTTCAGTGGCTTGCTAAAAGACAATTCTGTTATCAGCTGTGATAGCACTGAATCCAAATAGCAGCACAGGAA